TGTTATGGGCGACATGGGCAACTGCCCAGGTCGGCATCTTGTGGGGGGTGACAAGATTGACCCCTCACCCCTCTCACCACCCCAGATACTCCAATTGTCTGTGTCTCATTGCAACTTCCATCCTTCTGTCCATAGACTAATGGATGGAAGACATAGTGAGATATTTCCATCTCAATTTATCTGCCATCCTTAGGTCTACAGACAGAGGCACAGAATGTACATTGTGTCTCTGTCTGCAAACACAGTATGTGGATAGAGACATCAGAATGTATCTGTATATGGAAATGTCTCTCTGTACCTGAGTATTAAGTTAAAATTAAAACTAATATCACTGAACATTGTTATTTTTCAGGAAACTGCATCAAGGGCACAAGCTGGTCCAGCAGCACCTTTGGCACCTAGAGTATTTTTTCATAGGTGAGTGAGAACTATGAGAACTATTTCAGTAATGCCTTTACAAAACATTGTTTGGTAGTTCACAGGGATCTAATCTAAAAATGTAATATGTACTTAAAAAAACAAAAGGGTTGATTTGGACAGTCTCCCATCTGTTTCTAGGTGATTTTTAGGCTTCAACCCAGAAAGCAGAACAAAAGCTGCAAAAGTGACATCAAAACTAACAGGACAACTTATGCAAAACACTAGGACAGCAGTGAACCTGTGTGTCTCCATTCTTCTCCTACATGGACTACCAGTGGAACTTTTAAAATGGTAAAATTACACATTTACACACAATCAGTTCTCTTACTCCATCTCTCTCCCTGTCTGTCTTTTCCTCTGCCTGTCTCTCTGTATCTGTCCTGTCCACTTCTAATAGACAGATAGGACAGCTACAATGAAGGAAGGTCATAGAGAGTGCCTGTCCACTAGATCTTTCCTTTTCATCTTGTCTGTCTTTAACTGACATAAATGCAGTTTAATGTGCTGTTTATCTCGTGCATTAAAACATGTTTTTCTTTCTTTATCTTCTAGCAACCCTTTGATGATTTCTGGAGAAGTTCAGGACTGAGACCAACTCAGAACTCATCCATGTTGGTTTTGTTTGGCTGTTCACTAAGTCTTAAACTTGTCCACATGTTTAAGATGTGCTGTTGGGGTTCCAAAAAAGTTTTGAAAAAATATGTAAGTTCAAAATTTGACATTGCTGGATCCCTACCTTCTTCAAAGGAAGAAAATGACAGACATTTAGAATTTTGACTGCAAGTTTACATAAAATGCTGGTGAAACATTGTTTTTATGACTTTGACATGCAGTTTGCTTGGAAACTTTGACATTTGGGCACTTTTGTTTTAGTAAAGATTATTTAATTCATTGTATCATTGTATTGTATTGTATTACTATGAGGGTAAATGTATCAGTTATGTTTTTAGATCAGAGTATTTTTCACTTTGGTTGCAATACTTTGACTTCTATGTAACAAGCAAATATTACTGTTGCAAAATACTATATTTTGTTTTGCTTCAGTTTGTCAGATTTAAATTGACAATAAAATAAAGTGATTTTAAAATATATATATCTATATTATTTTTAATTAGAAATTTTTTTGAGAGTTTGGTAAATCAATTTGCAAGTTCATATTTAAACTTAAAAGCTAGCAAAGTATGCAGTTTTATGAAGTACTGTGACAACTTTTTTGCAATTCTACTACAGGATTACTGTCATAAAAATCTGATGAAATCCGATTAACCATGTTATATAATTACTGTGCTATTTTTAAAGAATTTACAGTACCACTAATCAAATTACAGTAAGATAGTAAAAATTACAGTAAAACTACAATAAAATTATAGTAAAACTAATTAAATTACAGTAAGACTACTGTAAAAAATTTACAGTAAGGTTACTATAAAGCTATTGTAATTTCTTTACCGTAAAAATTACAGTAACTTACTGGCAACTCTGTTGCCAGTAAGTTACTGTAAATTCGACAGTGACTTTTATTTTTACAGTGTAGTCTTTTTTTCCTTCTGTCCTTTTTCTACCAAGAAGAAATTGATGGATTTATATTTTGGATGACCTTGAAAGAAGATGGCAATGACAATCAAAAAACTAGTTGAGGAATTAGTGGTCAAGACATCACTCAACTTTATGTTTGAGGAAATCAGCAAAGAGGTCAAACAACTCAGCCTCATGAGCCTTATGGAAGAGGTTTGTAAGCTAAGGGCTACAGTCAATTAAGTGATGAGAAAACTGGAATATTGAAGCAAAGATGACTGGAGAAGAATTACAGGGTTGATGATATTATACACACATGGATAAAATTGTTGGTACTGCTCGGTTAATGAAACGGTCAGAAATAACTTCAATCTGACAAAGGCCCATCCATCCATCCATTTTCTAACACCCTTGTCCCTTAGTGGGGCCAGGAGGGTTGTTGGTGCCTATCTCCAGCTAACATTCCAGGCGAGAGGCGGGGTCACCTGGACAGGTCGCCAGTTTGTCACAGGGCAACACAGAGTCAGACAGGACAAACAACCATGCACACACACACCTAGGGAGAATTTAGAGAGACCAATTAACCTGACAGTCATGTTTTTGGACTGTGGGAGGAAGTGGAGTACCCGGAGAAAACCCACCATGCACAGGGAGAACATGCAAACTCCATACAGAAAGACTGGCCGGGAAGGGCCGGGAATCGAACCCAGAACCTTCTTTCTTGAATAATTGTGAAACAAATTTAACTTCATACTCTGCGAACCAGACCCTAAACTTACTTAAATTCTGGATTGAGTTTTTTCCCCTTCATTAATGACTCGCTTTTATTGGACCGGAGCAGCTTGATTGATTATTACATACATTATATCTATCATGGTAATTCAGGGTGAGTTATTTTTAATTCTAAATGAATATTCTTATTGGACTTTTATTTAAGTGCTATTCTCCTTCAAGATACATTTACCTAACGCTAGAATAAATGCGATGTAAATTATGCAGCAATGTACATCCGGAGCCCCCCAATCTTGGAAAAGGCTACAATTGCCCCGACCGCCGAGCCGC